AAACGCCCCAGGAGGTTCAGGGGAGGTGAAAATGATAATAATAATAGAAGAACTTAACTAGTTGGCTGAGGTTTCAACCTTGGTGTCAACAGCCTCAGGCCCTCCTGCACCAAGATAAACCAGCACGTGCACACTAACTGGCTCTTGTCCCGTTCTGGGCAACTTGGCACATTTGAAGTTCTTGAGGAAAGAGGGAAGACATGAACAGAGCAGATGCAGACTGTCCGAGTTTTGACTCTTACACGCCGCCCAGCCCAGTCGATTCAAATGAGCCTCTCGAGGCTCATTTGTTTTCTGCTTCACGGAGAAGTAAATAGCATTCAAGTCTGGTTCACCCACGGAATTCATGTGGGCTCTCAGGCCACGAAGAAGTCGTCAGAATTCCCTGGATTGAGAAACTTACCTAGCGCATGGCTACAACTCCGACAGGATTCAGTAAGACTGACAATTATTTGCTGCAGGTCAGCCCTGGGGGGAGTAGGAGAGGGATTGGGGTTTTTCCAGCCATTGCATTTACAAGACTCCTCGGCCTGAAAAAGGAATAAAGAGAGAGACAAAATTATGTAACCGGCAGCCTTCGACTGACTGTTTTGCATGAGAACAATACACACTCATTCTATGATAGCTCCCCCACCAGCCACCACCACCCCCTCACTCTAGTTTTGTACAAATGTACAAAAAACAAGAACAGAGGAGGGGGGTTGGTATTTGATTTGGGTGGTTTTGGGTTTTTGGCTTTTGTTTTCTGCAGGCTGAATAGACATGCAGCAGCTCAGAAAACTGGTACCCCCAAACCAGGGAATATGCACTGGCCAGCTCCAGGGGACCACCAGAAAAGCTTCTCAAAGTGATAAATCAAGTTCCTGAGGTTCTACAAACACAGCCTGGGCCCACACCAAGACTAACACTTGCAAACCCAGGGCTCCCCCTGCAAGGCTGGCCAGTGGACAAGAAGGGAAATCACCAGAACTCAAAGAATTAAGCATTTCAGGGACAAGACAGGGGGCTTGGGCAGCTGAAGGCACATTTGGAGACTCCTCCAAATCCTTTGTGGGCTCCCAGCTTTAAAAACAAGGAAATCCTCTTCACATAAAGTCTGGAATTTCCACCTAGGCATAACTCTTCACTTTCACATACTATAAATATTCCTGAACATTTTCCACAAATTCATCATACGGCCCTGCCTACTTACAGGCCAAAAGGCTTTTGGTCTTAGGTTATGAAGTGGAGGAGATGCAATAGACAGAGAGCAAGAATTATGTAAGGCTTCTTTCCAGATGAAGAGGGACCAGGAAGAAAGGCCTGGCGATCAACTTCCAAAAAGCAGTGAAAACTCCCGGCGTCTTCATGGTCTGACCTGCAACTCATCAAGCGGGTCGTGGGTCATACGGCACAGACAGCATTCTGTTTCAGTGTGCGAGGGGGCATTGCTATGAGTTTGGGAGCGGATCAATAGCAACTTCTTGTTGTTGTTGGCACTATCAAACCAGTTCCACTCAAACCACCCTCTGTAGAGCAGAAGAAAACACTGCCTGGCCCCGCCTGCACCATCCTCACCTCTGCTGCTGTGTTTGATTCCATGGTTGCAGCCATGGTGAGATGGACCAGTTGGTAACATCATGATAAACGAAGATTGAAGTTGTCAGTGATTCAGTCTGGATCACTGAATTGTACTGGGTCTTCCACTTTTTTGCTGCCCCTGCACTTGACCAAGTATGATGTCCTTCTCTAGGAACTGGTCTGTTCAATTAGCGCGTACAACATACAGAGATTGAAGCGCTTCAAAGGCGCAGTCCAGCTGTACTACTTCAAACACAGATTTGAAGTCCATGGCATGTTCAACATTCTTCGCCAGCTCCCTCATTCAAATGCATCGCTTCTTCTTCGGTCTTCCTCAGTCAATGCCCAACTTTCATGTGCTTGCAGTGATTGAAAATACCAGGGCGTGTGTGTTAGTCTGGGTTGACTAGAGAAATTCATAGACACTAATATGTGCATAAGAAAGAACAATTGTACATTAAGAAAACATCCCGGCCCAGTCCAGATCAAGTTCATAAGTCTGATACTATCCCACCTGTCCAATACCAATCTATAAATTCCTCTTCAGACTCACGAAACACATGCATGATGCCGAATGCAGGAAGATCACAGGCCAGTGGGTGGAAAGTTTTGTGGATCCAGTGGTGGTGGAAGCATCTCAGCGCTGGCAGGGGTCTCCCCATTATTCCTCCAGCCCCAGGGCACTAGTGTATCTCCATGTGTCTTGTCAGCAGGAATCTCCCAGGGAGTGTCTGTGTGTGCCACCTCCAGCGAGCTACTTATCTCCTTAGCGCCTCCAAATGAGGTCATCAAGCAGTGACCTGATTGACAGGCTAAACTCCACCCCTTCACTCTTAATAGTCTCAAATTGGCACCAGATTATATAACTACCACAGCTTGGGTCAGGCGCACTTAGTAGCCTTCCAGCTTCTGAAGGTGGTGTGCAGCAGATTTACCCAAGGCAACGTATTATCGTTGATCTCTTGTCTGCTGCTTCCATGAGCATGGATGGCGGTTCCAGACTGAATCACTGACAACTTCAATCTTTGTTTATCAGGACGTTACCTACTGGTCCATTTGCGAGCAACCAAGAACAAGAAAAACAAGCCCCACCCTGTCAGGTGCTGTCCCAGAAGGTGGTAAGGTGAGGAAGGCTAGCGTGCTCACACAGAATGACCCCCACCACTCGAAAACAAGAAAAAGCAAACTCCCCGCCATTAAGTCGATTCCAACCAGAGTGACCCCTATAAGGACAGGGTAGCACTGCCTGAGGGTTTCCGAGACTGTAACTCCTTATGAGGGTAGAAAGCCCCATCTTTTCCCCCTGGTTTTGAACTGCTGACCTCGTAGTTCACAGCTCACTGTACAACCATGACACCGCCAGGGCTCCCTGATTCAGAATGGCCCCATCTGTGAAAATGCTTCTGCTGCTTCTGTGCTATCCCCTCACCCCTCTGTCACTCCCCATTTATATATATTTATATAAAGCTGCTGTGATGAGCAAATCCCCAGATGAAATAGAGTGACAGGGACTATAAGCTCATTCCTTCTGGGGGAGCCTCTGGGGACAGATTCTTCTATTGGCACAGCCCCACAAGATCACCAGCAGCGACTTATGGCTGCTGACATTTGAAAGGTGAACTAATTTAACTTGAAATGTGCTGTGGGGTCAACACCAGCACCAAGTTTAATTAGTGCTAACAACCCCACTGCTGCCCCCAAATAAAAAAAGTAAAATAGCCCATTCATCATTTTTAGATTGATTCACATGTTAAAACACTAATATTTTAGATACATGAAGCTGACTAGATAAAAGATATTAAAGTTAGTCACTGTTTTCTTCTTACTTATTACTATTATTTTAATGTAACTAGCAGAATATTTAGAATGACACAGGTGGCTCCCATTATATTTCTTCAGGGAACCCACAAAGGTTCAATAAAACCGAGTGCAAGAATTGCGCTTGGGCTTTGTGTTAGATCCTTTGTCCCTCAGAGGTTGTATTTGTTGTTGCTGTTCCTTCCTGCTTTTTTTCCCTCTCTGTCGCAGAAGGCTGAAGTTAGTAGAATCTTACTTGCAGCGTGTCTAAGACCATGGAGCCGTGGTAGTATGGTGGTTAAAGTGTTGGGCTGCGATCCTCATGGTTGCCAGTTCAAAACCACTAGCACCTCCGAGGGAGAAAGACTGGGCTTCCCATAAACAGTTACAGACTCAGAAACCCACAGGGGGCACTCTGAGTTGGCAGTGAGTATTTGCGTTATGATAGAGGCCCTTTCTGAGATGTGTATGTATAGAAAAATCAGAACCAAACTCACTGTATAGGAGAGTTTTGACAAAAAAAAAAAGAATCAACCATTGGCTTAGGTCAGTCGGAGATGCCTGCCTATGAAGATCCCTTGAATCAAGCAACACCCCTCCTCACATCTGACCATTTCTCACATTCTCCCCAGTTTCTATGAGGATGAGGAATGCAGGGACAGAGGAGGGTGCTTGCTACCCAGCAACTCCATTACCTGAAATCCCCACCTAGCGGCTCAAGTCCCCCTCACTGGGCCAGGCATCTGCACACGGGCTGGAGATTGTCTGCAATAAGGCACAGGCCTCTCCAGAGAATGGAAAGGTCTCATTCTTGAGACAGACTCTCAGAAGGACTCAATCCCAACAAAGCATCCTGGCAAACTTTGTAAAAACCTCAAATCGCCAAACTCACTGCCATTTAGTCGACTCTGACTCACGGCGACCCTACAGAACAGAGCAGCACTGCCCCTGGCGAGTTCCCAGATGGTAACTCCCTGTGGAAGCAGGACACCTCATTTGTCTGTCTCCCTCGGTGTGGCTGGTGTCTTGAACTGCTGACCTTGTGGTTAGCAGCCCAACACATAACCAGTAATCTTCTTAGGAACAGAGGAAACTGCCCTGATTGGGGACCACGGCTCACCTAGTAGGAGAACAGCCACTTTCAGGGACTCTTGGCTTTTCTGGGTCATTAGCCTGATCCAACTGCCCTATCCTGAAGGGTCTTTGTTTAGAGAAAGAAAAATGATGACACTTCAAGTCCCAACAAGCCAATGAAATATAGCCAGCCTACCCGAGAGGGGAATGGGGACTGGGGTGGGGGACAGAGATAACCAAAATTTGGGTTTGGACAACCGTATTTCTAGCCAAAGAACTACTGTGTATATGAATTCTTACATTCACCAAATATAGATTATGTAGTAGATACTATAAATGTATTTATTGAAGGCCTACTGCATGCCACATATATGTTAGGTATAAAAACCAAAAAATAAAATGGAAAAAACTGATCCCCCCCTTGGCATCAAGTAGATTCCCACTGAGAGGGATCCCATGTAGGGTGGTTTCCGAGGCTATAAATCTTTAGAGGTTCCAAGAGCCTCATCTTTCCCCCTTAGAGCAGCTGGTGGGTTTGAACCACCGACCTTGTGGTTAGCAGTCCAGTGCTTACCTGACAGCTCTACTACCAGAGAGAGGTATACTGTGAACACACATCTCTGTCTTCATGGAGTTCAATGTGGGCTGGGGTGTTGTTGAGAGGGTGACATTACAGCTTAGCCTTGAAGGAGAGGGGCGGCTGGCTACACAGATAGCTGGTGGAAGAGTGTTCCAGTGTTTGGCTTATTCAACAAATAGCCAAGGCCAGAATTACTAGAGCAGCGTGACTAAGGGGTTGTAACCTAGGTAAGCTGAGGGCAGGAGGGGTCCTAATCAGGATTTTAGCCTCACTACTTGATCTATTCTCTCCTCTCAAACAGGACCCTCAAGGCTGAAAATGGGGGTGGGAAGAAAACAGATGACATGAGACAAGATATCTCCACAATCCTTCCTTGCTTTGGTCTTTTTCCTTTAATCATCAGGGTCACGTATGTCCACTTTCTTTTTCCCATACAAGCCTACACACTCGACTTCTAATGGGAAGGGTCACCAACCTTAACGGAACATCATTGTGTTGTTGCCTTTTTGCTTTCAATGATACTATGTGCCCACGAGACAAAGCTCAGACCTGCCCTTGGCATTAATGTCTGGAAGACCACATTAT